TACCAAAAAAAAAAAAAATCTAAAAAAAAAAGTGAAAAAATTGCAGGCATTTACTTACGGGAGCTCTTCAAGCTGCCAGGACCATGTCCTCCCTGAAATTAAAAAAATAATAATAATAAAAAAATAAAAGAATAATTATGTACAAAATTTTCAGATTTTAGTCCCCAAAAAACTACATAATCACACACACACCCACAAAAGAATTTCATAATTTAGAGTAAAATTAAAATTCGCACCTTCCTCAACTGATAACCATAGTTCCCCTTTGATGCCATGACCTTGAAAAAAAAAAAAAAAATGAATGTACTCGTATTTAATTTGTACATAAATCACTCACATTATAATAAAATAAATTAAAAAAATAAAATAATATTCAAGACCACTCACTGGTATTTGGAGCATGAAAATAGCAACAAGTGCAAGGAGTACAATAGCAAATAACTTGGCCATTTTTATTTTATTTTTATAAAAATGGTAGCTGGAGGAAAATAAAGCAATGAAGCATCCAATGTGAATTGTACTGTCTGTGTGTAGGGGCTATAAATAGGGGTTTTTACTGTGGTGTGGTGGGGCAATACACGGAGTTTGCGGGGTTGATTTGCAAATTTTGTAGGCCCTAGCAGGTTTTTAATTCTGGGACCTATCATTTAATTGTAATTTTAATTTATTTTATTTCTTTTGGTGCAGTGCTTTCAACATCGGTTCAGGTGGTTCGGACATGTCCAACGGAGGTCTCTTGATGCACCGGTGCGTAGGGGGGTTGTTCTACAACGGGCCGATAATGTTAAGAGAGGTAGAGGTCGGCCTAAACTCACTTGGGAAGAGTCGGTCCAGAGAGACCTTAAAAATTGGAATATCTCTACGGATTTAGCGGTGGATAGGAGCACCTGGAGGCTAGCGATCAACGTGCCGGAACCGTGACTTACCCATTTCTCTTTTGCTCCATTCTCTTCCTCTTGTTTTGTTTTTGTTTTTGTTTTGAGTTTTGTTTTGTTTTGAGCTTTTTTTTTTTCTATTACACTGTATCTCTTGAGTTTCATCTCTAGCCTACCCCAACTTGTCTGGGACTAAAAATCTTGTTGTTATTGTTATTGCTTTTATGGTGTGTGTGCGCGTGTGTGTCACACAATTTTTATTATTTTTTTTTATTTTTATTTTTCAGATTTTCACATGTTTTGCAGTGTCTGTCTTGCTGAATTATTGCTCCTTTTTTTCCTAAATTTCGGCAATTTATTTTATGTAATTTTTATTTTACATCACCTGACCATTTCAATATATACTTTTATATATGCATACATTTATTAGAATGTATTACAATTTAAGAACAAATATAAAAATAAATATTTTATTTGATAATATAAGCATGTATTTTTACTCATATAGTAGTATAATATGAGGCTAATTGTCTAACACAAAAAATTCATAATTTATTTTTGGGACATGGTTTTCGGTGGTTAAAAAATTGATGGAAATTGGAGAAGTATTTATTAACTATTTATGGCTATATACGGAATTTAATGCCACGGGAAATAAATGCATCTGTCTCCTTTTACTATTTATAAGAGTTGTGAGTATTTTGGTGGGTTGGAGAATGAAGTTTTGACATGAAATGTAGGAAAATTGTGAGAATCGGGAGAAGAGGTGCGGTCTCATCAGTGAAGCGCACTAAATGAAGGTGAGGTTAGATGCGCCTTAGTGAGGTTCCATCTCAAAACTAATTGATAACGAAAGTAGTAACTCACTAAGCTTATAAACAAGGCTCATTTACCGTGTAGAATCAATGTGCAACAACTCACGAGTGATATTATAACATGTCCCCTCGCTTGTGAGCCATTCGTAAGCCCAACCCCACAGAATGGGTCGGGTAAAGTAAACTCAAGCCCAGAGCAGGCCGAGTAGAGAAAGTCATTCCATGTCTTAGGACAAGTCCGCTCTAATACCAAACAAGAATTGATCGGGAGAAGAAAGTGCAGTCCCACCAGGTGAAGCGCACCATAAGAGGGTAAGTTTAGATGCGCCTTAATGAGGTTCCATCCCGAGACCAATTGGTGATGGAAGAAGTAGCCCACTAGGCTTATAAACTATGCTCATTTACCCTGTAAAATCATTGTGGGACAACTCACTAGTGATATTCCAACAAAAAATGTTACAGTCACGTAACAGAACCATTCTTTTACATCAAACTCCAATAAAAACTGTCACATCACTTTTATTTGACCACATCTAAAGGTTCATATCAAAATTAACAGATCTAATGGCTTATATTGATATGAGGGAATAATTCCGTCACGGAAATGTATATATAAGGCTACTAATATTTTGTTCCGTATAAATCATTTTGTACAACAACCTAATATCTATGCGAAAAACTCGACATACTTTCTGAACCAAAAAAAAAATAAATAAATAAAAATAAAAATAAAATCCACTTGATGAATATTGAAGAATGTGTATGAAAAGGAACTTGTAAAGAGTAAAGAGCATATGGAAGGTTGGTTAGGGAAGTTGTGGATGGGACCCAATTCAATATTAAAAGTCAACAAAGTGAAAATTAGATATTAGAGATTTCATATATACCAAACTCAGAAGACAATTTCATTAATTATTTCACACCCCTATCATCTTCTAGCTGGAACTCAAGTTTTTATCCGGTCGAGCTCGGTTCATTAATTAAACAAAGTCGATTAAGTTAGTTTATGCTCGACTCATTTACCAACATTAATGAACTAAAATTAAATTTTAACGAGACGAGGTAAACTAAAATTTTGAAACTTATGCCGAAACTCTTATTCTCGTGCTGAGCGCTCGAGCTTCATATACTCTAGCTCGGGCTCGAATCTTTATCGAGCCCAATTCGTTTCATTAACTAAACAAGTCATTAAACAAGTTCATACTCTACTTATTTACCAATACTAATGAGTCGAATTCAAATCTTAACGAGCCGAACTAAACTAAACTTATTCAACTTACGTAAATGTTCCTGATCTTGAGCCGAGCTTGGTTTTCTCCACTCTTTTAAGCTAATATGAGCTTACGAGTGGCTCGTTTCATTTGACTACTCTAAGTCTCAATACTTAAAAAATGCTTAGGTGCAAGGCGACACCTACACGCCACGAGTTTTGCCCGAGGGGTATTGGCGACTCCTAGGCATAAGTATATTTTTAATTTTTAATTTCTTTTGTATTAAAAGGTATTTATACTTTATTAAAATTGAATAACTATGAATTAATTTGCATTTTTGCATAATCGTTGTATTTGACCATACTAATTAATAAATTTTATATAATTATATTATACAAAGTATGCATAACAATTTACATATATATATATATATATATATATATATATATATATATATTACTTCGCCTAAACATTACGTAGTCCTCAATTCTTTATTTTTTTTTTGGGTAAAACAATAGTTATATTAAAAACTTAAAAAGAAACTCAAACAGAGTAAGGATGAAGCTCGAAACCTCGAGCTGAGAAGATAGCCCGGCCGAGTGAATGGCCTTGGCTGCCAGGCCGCTCCACCAAGTATGGCCAGGAGGAAGAGCAACTTCCCGAAAACCCTCGGGATCGGGGAGAGCCAGCTTCACGGCGTCGCGATCGATCTTGCCCGAAAAATCGGGCTTAGTCACCGCCTGCTCCCATGTGTCGCAGGCAAAGTCAAAATACTCGACGGCCGTAGGGACGAGCTCGTCGAGAAAGTCCGAGGAAGAGCAGAATCCCTCGACCACAGCCTTG